GAGCAGAAATAAATAAATCGTTTGAGCGCGATCGATGTTGTTTTGATGATATTTAATTGTTGACTCAGAAATTCATATTAATTTCCCTCTCTTTAAATTAAAATTTTGTCACGGTAAAGATAAGGAAACGTTACATATATAACATACATTTGAGAAATTTCTGCGCAAGGATGTAATTAAATATCGGTCTCGATTGATTATTATCTTTATCTAAAAGTTGCTCGAGTTAGATATCGCAATTTTATATTTCCAATAATTTAATCTTTCGGCTGCGGCGGTCAAGGATTATTTCGTGATTACTTCGATTACTCTTACTTCGATTACTCTTACTTCGATTACTTTGATCCGAGAGCATTACGCATTTCGTGTATAATGCACGCATACGGCTCGCGTGATGCGTTCATCACGTTTAATTTGTCGCTTCGTGCGCGCGCTTTTTGGTAATGGACGTAAAGTTTGGGACCTCTCGCGAGCGAGACGCCGGGCCCGCTGCCGCTATATCGTCGAGTTCAGAGCGGCATAACTGAAATTCGAGTCGGCAGATCTAATGGTGCCAGCAGCAAGTCATCACGTACCGGCCCCTTTTCGGATCCCGCCGTCACGAAGAAGCAGAATTCGAAATCGCCAACACGCGCAAACCGTCGTCTCGTATTTCGAGCATTAACTAACGCGCGTATCATCGCGATGGTAACACCACCGACCGTCTCGGTCTTCGTGGTCCACGTTTCGGCAGTTCACAATGTCAATTCTTATTCTTAGAAATTCTTCCTCGATTTTCTTAGAGTAAGAAAGTCAGTCAATCGGATTAATTGTCGAATAAATGTTTGTCTTGCGGACAGCCGATTCATTCGATTCTATGTGCGGTTTTACTTCCGATAGCAAATTTCGTCATCTATCGTTTCTGATTAAAATGACTGATTTAAAAATGACTGATTCGATTAAAGTTAAAGAGAAACAATAATCTCGGAAATGTTACACAGTTGGACGCGTTTAATCTTGTTTCCTCGAGTGACAAGTATTTTTCTGGGAACGCTCGAGCAGAGAGCCACCGTCTATTTTAGCCAGGGTAAGACGCTAAACGGTGCGCGCCGACGAACGCCATGTAGAGATACCTTAAGATACGAGGAACAGTCGGATGAACGCGGATGCCCGTGCTCCATTAACCGTGAGCCGCAACTCGAAGCGGGTCCCCCGGCCTAATGAAGCCGTCGCAGAGCGAGATTGTGGAAAAAAACGACGACACGTTGCCGTACATGTCAAATAAATGTCGTCCCACATTTGTTTGTAAGCGTCGCAACGGTAAATTCGACCTCTCTCACCCTAACTCTTTGTATCGACACCTTGAAGAAATATACAAGTTAATTATATAATAATTCACAACTAGAGAAACATTGACGCTTAGATATTTTTTAGTTTGGAGAAAATACGGTTTCTTCATGAAGAAATCTATTTTGAAAACTAAAATCTCTTATTTCATAAAATCGACGTAAAACTCATCAAGTCGACTTAATAAATTCGGATTACAAAACGTAAATTTTTTTTAACTGATTGAGAGCACGAGAAATTGATTCTTTGTATTATCCTTATCTTTTTTATTCTTTTACCTATATCCTTTATTTATCTCTTTCATTTTATTGACGCCGCGCTTTCTTCGTTTCTTACTGAACGGCGACTCCTTCGTCGCGGCTTCGTCTTTTCAGGAAAAGGCGTATAGTTACGCCCCTGGTGCCCTCTTCTACCGACGTTTTAACCCGTGCGTCGGTCTTCGTCGGGATATCGTCTGTAAAATGAGACGCACCAGAGAAGCGCACCCGATACGGTGGACTAATTGGCCGATAAATCAACCGCGCCGTCTTACCTTCGCCGCCGCGGCTACGCGCTCCTGACCTTCTAGACTCATAGGCAGACCATCCGGACATGCGAAACACCGCGGACCTAATTTCGAATGCGAATCCGCCGGTCTGAAACTGTATCGACCTCGTCCGCGATGCCGGATTCCGATTAAATCGTTTAGAGTGAATCTTATTAGACGAGGTCGCGACGCTTCGACTATCATTCCACGACTCGATAATTATCGTTCTTTATAAGGAACACATTTATTTATTTCGTCTTTAATATATTTATTATATATTAAAGATAGACATTAAATTGTTTGCATATGTAAAATTCTGTTGTTTAATTATTATTGCGTTCTTAATAAGATAAAGAATGAGATAAAGACTATTAATTCATTATTAACGCAACATGGACAAACGATTAGCCATATTCATTTCTTCAAAACAACAATTACAAACATGTATTAATATTAAACATTGTCGAATTTAATTAGTTTGATATATGAATAAGTCAGGGAGAGACGCAAAGAAAAAGAAAAGAAATTTTGCTTCAGTGCAAGGCGCAAAGACAACGTCTACTCGAGGTACTCGGCAAAACCGAGTTCGAGCTCGAGGTGTGTCTCGCGGTATTTGAGCGCGAGAGATCACCGCTTCGGTCACGTAGCTTCGGTAGCTCCGGTAGCTCCGGTAATTTGTGTCCGCAACCGGCGCGTCGCACCGATGCGATATCTTTCGTGCGAAAGCAACGAGAATGTGAGAAAGCGGAGTGTCGCGCGGCGAAACAGGTTCCTTGGTTTCCGGGGGCAGATCGGCGGCGAGGCGGCGGCGGCGGCGGCGGCGGCGATGACGACGTCGGGTGCAGGAGAGCGTAGCGCGATGCAACTCGATCCCCCGAGCTACATAAACCGCGCGCACGCATCACCATCACCATCATCGTAGCTACTACTACTACTACTACTACTACTACTACTACTACCATCACCATCGCCACGTATGCGCGCTAATCGCATCGAGCGAACTTGTCGGAATTAATTGGTCCCATCAATTAACGCGCGCTCTCTCAGGCCGCTGCAGTTGCCGATGCGCGCCCGGATGAGTGGTGAGAAACGGGGGCAAGGGAGAAAAAGCGCAGGATTAAAAGCGCGACACTCCTACTGCCATCTGTATTCTGTGGCTCTTCCTTCGTCATATAGAAGAAACTCCACGGCTAAGTCCTAATTAATTGTTGAAATCGGCAAACGAAAATCCATTCGATAAAGATTAGGCGCGGATTAGGGGATGTTTCGCATAATTAGTATTAATAAGCATCGTTACATTTTGTTTTTCTTTTTCTGTCCGGCGGAAGAATTCACAGTGTTGAAATAATTAAAATAGTTACAAAGTACGTAATCTTTGAATTAAAATAATTTATTCTAATTTTTTTTAATCTATAAAAATTCTGATATCTCCGTTTATTCTATATATTTACGATTTTTCTTCAATAATTTTCTATCCATTTAGTTAATATTTATTTAATCATTTTTAATTTTCTTTCAGTTTCGATCGATATTTTCAGGATTTGAAAAGTAAAAATAATATTTATTTAGCTAATGAAATTAACTATTAGCAAACAATATCTTATTAGTATTTAAACAACATATATTTGTGCATATAATGATTTTATATTTCTGTCATTAAAATTTTTTTTCGAAGCAAATGCGTTTTACATATTTTCTCAATACTCTCCTGGTAATAAACTCAGATAATTCATTGTTTTAAAAGAAAATAGCATTACCGACACTGACAGATGTGATGATTGCTGTTTGATGGTAATGATTGTTTCATACATAATTCATTTAAAAATGTTACGCTAGATGGCTATACTGTATATATCTACTAATTTATAAATATTTTATCAAAATTATAAGTATCTCTTCGAAATTGTCGTATGCGTTTATACATTTAATACTAAAATCACTTAACATGAACTACATAACACGAAATAAAGCAAATTAGCATAAGAATTATATTTCAAAATAAATACTTGTATTCAGTATTCAGTGGCGCTTTCTATGGCAAATTCTCGATCGAAATATAATTATATTTTTTCTCAATGTAAATTCAACATGTATATTATCTTTTGCTCTAAAATCTTTTTATTTTATTGTAAGAAATAGTAAGTTTTTATTTGTAAAAACAAAGTTTACGAAATGCAACAAAATAACGTAAAAATTATATCTTCTATTCAAATTATTTAAGAAGATAGGTTCAGAATTCTAGGTCAATCAGTTAACGACACGATTGGTGGGGCGAGGACATTTGAATTTCGCGCTAGCGACGCGGCGGCCGGCGACCCGGCGCGTCGCGCGCAGGCGCGAACTGCGCGCCGCGCTCGGCACCGTTCGGGCGCCGCAATGTCGGCCGTCCTGGGTACCGTGGTAGGAACGTCGCTCGCCTTTTTCCGCGATTTCCTAAGTGAAACGCGTATCGCGCGCGCCCGCTCCGCCGTCCAGTGTCCCGTGCTATGAACGCGTGATCCGCACGTGACGAGGATCCCACCGCCGTTTTGCAGCTCGCAGCTCGCGCCGCTCCTGAAGATGGGTGAGTAGAGAACATTTCGCAAACGCGAAATCGGCGGAACGCCGACTAAGCGCTCTCGCATCTTGATCTCTCCGCCTCTCTACCCTCCGGTTCTTTCTCTGTCTCTTTTCTTTTCGTCCATCATTTCCTCGCGTCGACGAACTCCACGACGCGCCAGCGAGAAGTGCCGAGAAAGAGAATGAAAAGAAGAGAGAGTGAGAGTGTGAGGGAGAGAGGGGGGGGGGAGACAGAAGGAAGGAATGCGGCGTCCGATCGTTCGTTCGCTCGCTCGCTCGCTCGCTCGCGCGTACATAGGAAGCGGAATACGCCCCTGCGTCGCGCGGTTTCCGTCCGATTTCCACGCTCGCGCTCGTCTCTCGACGATCCCGAGAGAGAGCAGCGAATGTTTTCCGAAAGGCTCGTATCGCGAACTCACTCGGTGGTCTATAAATAGGTGAATCCGTCGGTTTGACGTTTTCTAGGGCGAGCCCCCTCTACTCCGCGCGTATGTACGCGCCATGCGTAAGCGAGATTCCCCCTTGTCTTCTATATCGTCCCTTTCGTCCCTGCTCGTCCCATGCGTGGGCTATCTCTCTTTTTCTCTTTCTCTCTCGCTCTTCGTCTTCGTCTTCGTCTTCGGCCTCTTTTTCTCGTTTTGCATATCGCATTTTACGCGGTATGCTTGTCGAAGAATTCGCGTCGTTCGATCCTGATCACTCTCGTGATCACTTCTCCTTTTTCTTTTTCCATTCTAGAGAGACGCGTCTTTCCCCTCTTCCTCCCTTTCTCACATCTTACGCGCGAGGAAAACGATCCTTTTCTTATTCTTCTTGCTGTTTCTGGTTCACGTCGTGCCGCATTCTTGACGTGGTCAGATCTCCGTGAAAAATCTGTCGTTGCTCGATTATTAACTCTCTTCTCGTTCGGTCGTCTTCCTTTCTCTTTTTATCTCGATTGTCACCTGTCTTTATTTCGAGAATCGCATACTTCACTTTAGATTTATAGAATTTGGCACCGGGCCGAGAAACTGTGAAAATAAAATTCGGAGCATTTTTTACAAGAACGTTTACTAGAGCAATGTGTACGCTGAAAAGATAGATAGATGGCGCGATCACGAGAACACAATGTAGCTCTGATGAATTCCGAAAATTGAACAAAGTTACGTATTCCTCGTATCATTAATAAAATAATCAAGGCGCTATTTAATGTCACGTTTGACATTAAATAGCGCAGCAGTAATCGAATATCAAGGTAGGCTATGCATTAATCATCTAATTAGAACGTATGTAAAAAGTATGTTATATTTAAACATGCGGTGATAACCGGAATATCCAGCTTTGCCATACCTCAATTAATCGGGACGTCGAAAGTGAATTATAAACAAAATGATACATCATTCGTGTTCTCTTTCGGCAAGTATCAGACCTTCACCGTTTCGACCGATCGTCCAGCTTCGTACTACTAAGGCATACAACGCGCATTCTGCAAGCTGCATGAAGAAATGCAACTGTCCGTAATGCGCTTTCGACGATTCCTGAATGCCGGCACGTGTCAACCACTCGTGAATAGGCATCGCTAATGGCACCGCTTTCGCCTGGAAAAGCCGCAATTAATTTCCCACCGCTCGGCATTTCGAAATTCCCAACTATTCTTTGCCATTGTCGTCACGTTATTCTCATCGCGAAAATAATGTCCTCGTCGGAAACACGGATTAAGAATCGGCGGAAAAGACTATGGAGACTTCTATCTTATATGATTTTCTGCTCACTCATATTACGTCTAAAATATTGAGAAATTTGTAATATAATTACGATATTTACAATTAGGAGAATTATCCGCAGGTCTTTATACAGCGATAAAAAAAAAAGAAAGAAAGAAAGAATAAATAATAATTTTGATGCACTACAGAGTGCAATAAAATGTAAATATTTTTATTTATTGTAAATTTTAAAGAACTAAATTGCAAAACCGGTTTTGTAGCAATCTTCGTAGCTTTATAATAAATCTGTAGAAAAAAGTCTCATGGTAAAATATTTCTTCTACGAGATGAAATATGACAAATATATATAAATTCAAACAAGTATTTGCTTAGATAATATTGCATAGGAATATGTAAAATTATTTACAATATTATAATTATTTAAAAGTTAAATTGCAAAATTTATCATTGTAGCAACTTACTTTCGTAGTTTTATCACAAATATATAAAAAAAATTTTATGTCAAAATATTGTTTCTGTACGACATGAAATATATATTGAATTCAAACATGTAGATTATCCATAGGCAAGAAATAGATAATCTTATTAAAGCTGGCCCGCCACTCCTTCTGATCTTTAAGAATGAGAAATCGTAAGAGAAAAACATCGGAACGGAAGACATATCTGATTGCAATTTTTAATTCTTCGGCAGATCAGCCTCGATTTCCGATGTCACGGTGCGTCGCGATTTGCCTCGCGGATGGAATGAATTGCGTCCGTCTGCGCCCTCGCTCGTGCGAATTATTCGCGATCGCAAATTACGGTAGGTCCGGTTGCTTCACGTTGGAGCCAGCGACCCCGACGAGACGCCAGCGGACTCGTAATTCGCTCGCTGCAATCGTGCATCTCCCGCCCACCCACGCGACTGATGCATCGCGCGTAGCTCCGACGACATCTCATGCCTCGTTGTCTCTCCTACTTTACTCTCTCACGAGATATTTGCCATATTTCAGGACGTAGACGAATATCTATAATATTCAGATCTCACGGAATAAAATTCTATCTACAGTTTTATTTGTTTAATATATTCTACACGGTGTGTCTGCCACTTGGAAACATCTGAAATATCTGGAATTTTCAGAGAATTTGTTCATGCCTTGGAAAATCGGAGAATTTTATTAAAATTGCTCTTTCTAATATTTTACTTTTATATTATCAGGAGTTTACCGACTGAATTATTAATTTTATACAGTTTTATATTAATTGAATTATTAATTGAATTTTGTACTAGTTATGAATTATATAATTTTTTGTTTGTAGTTTTTGAAATTTTATGTATATAAAATATTTATTTTTTAGAATACTTATGTAGTTTCTTTCAAAATTTTTCGAATTTAGTTATTGAAACTCGAGTGAGTTTTAATTTTATTTTATGATGTATAAACATTTAAACTGAATGGAAAATATTAAAGACTTTGCACAATAAATATATATTTATATACATTCATATACATATTAAGATACATTAAAAGTATTTTTATTTTACTTGGAATTTTTGACAAATTGCCTTGAAAATCAGAAAATTCTCAGAGGACTTTTTTCAGATTTAAGTAGACAATCTGTTCTATTATATTTTAATATATTGGATAAAAATAATCTTTTGTTTGTTTTATATAAACACAAATCGGTGATTTTGCGTTTAAAATCAAACTTTTATTAAACAAGATATTAATAAATCTTTAGTTATTCTGCCCTCTATCTTTCAGTCCTTATTGAGTACATAGATATATGATAATAACGCTTAATAAAAATTATATACTGAAAGTAGGACAAACAGATTTTTCGAATTCTCGAGTTCATGTGCATTTTTTATTTGACTTTTGTAAATCTTGAATTAATGACATTATTGAATACTAAACCAACTTGCTCTATGTGTCGGCAATATTATTAACGTTCATTTGTTTGTGTCTAAATATTAGAAGAGTAGATAATTGCTTCTAAGTCACAAATTTATTTTTTCAAGTATTCTGCCCCGAAATTATTGGAGAAGAAAAGAGACAGATTTACCTTAGGCGTGGGTCGTAGTCGTTATCCGTGTCTTTGACGCTCGTTCAGCCAATCGCATTATACGATAATACAATAATCGTAACCCCGATCCGCGACATTACGTGGCCGGCTATCTCGCAATGTATACCTTACGCGAAGACTTTACACGTGAGGCAGCCATTTCACGCACGAGGAGGCGTTTACATAATAGATCAGTCAACGACGAGGCGCGTAAATCCAGAGCAACGATCGACGCGCGTTATTGATTCTCTTCTTTTCGGTTTCCATTGAGACATTTTGCAGGTACCTGGGGGTCCCCGAAATCTCGGGAATGTGGTTAATGTCGTGTGCGTTTTTCGCCCGAAACTGCAAATGTCGCTGATCGATATCTACTCCCCAAACGATAGACACTGCATCTCTTAAGGGGAGAATCTCCCCTCGGCGAAGACCCTTAATTGACGTCGAGCGCGGAAACGCCTGGTTTCAGCACGGAAATTGTGCGAAACTCAGCTAATTCTCGTACCAAATTTCTCGTAAATTGTGATTCTAGTTTTGAAGAAATGTGACTAGAATTTTTCTATAAACGTCACAACTGTATTTAATTAATTTTGATTAACGGTATCCCTGATTGTGAAAATGATTAAATGAGACATCTTAAAACCGATATTTTTTTTGTAAAAGTCTTTTTGAGAAATTTTACATTTTTACATTTTTAAGAAATATATTTGGCGATATAAAAATGTGATAATATCGTCATTATCAGTTTGAAGTAAATCGTAGTAAACGATCGGTGGAACGTGCGTTGAAGATAATGATTAAGTTCGCGCATTGCATAAATCCCTCCCTCCCTCCCCCCTCTCTCTCTCTCTCTCTCTCCAATGATCGCTAGTTCTTTAGAAAGAAAAAAATTAGATTATCTAGTTGAAAGAGCACTCGTTTCCCGTACCCTTCTTGGATCAATATTCCAGACGCTTATTGGTGCATGTGATGCACATCGCGCATCAACTTACACCGACAGATTCTTTAACTCGGTCTCGGAAAAGGTAATGTGACTCCAAAGTTGTACAACAGTTGCAGTATACTCATTGATTAGCGAGATGAAATTACAAATAGCAGTTATCTTGTGCTTCGCCGGAACTTAAAGAGTTCAATCGCGACACTGTATTGTAATTTTATCAAGAAATTCGTGTGAAAATTATACATTTATCTTACCTCGAAATCTTTTTTGGCTCATCGACTTATCTGTTACGATATTTATTATGTGAAGATTCAAAAAGGCAATCTCATTAAATTGAAAAATGACATTATATTTCTTATTCTAGTATTAATCTTATTCTAGTATAATCCTATTCTGCGCGAAACTAGTTTAAGCTGACGGAATTAGGACACCGCGTGTGCATATGAAGATAAAATTATGACAGGCGCTGGACACTTTCTCAGCTAACTGGATTAAAAGCCTTATGCAACGATTTCATTTATAAATTACTCTTAAATATATCTTTCAATCGCGTAATCTGACATTAATATTATCTAACTTTCTGCTTTTTGCAAAAGATAATTGCATCATTAATATATACTTTAAATTTTCAGAGAGGAAAAAATTAATTTCTGAATTGTGAAGTTTTTTTTTTAAATAAATTTTGCGGATTTTAGGAAAATTTATTCATTATTAATACCCCAAAAAATTCTTTATTTTCACATATCTCATAATGCCTGCATTTATATGTGAATTTATAATAAATAAAATAATCAATTTGCTAATTTATAATATCTTTCTAGTTCCCGCGAGGCGAGTGGCAACGTCGTTGCTCGATTCGCAGATATATGTTAAGCAAATTACTTAAAGGCAGAAAGACAAAAAAAAAAAGATTGACGAACGGCAAGGTACAAAGCGCAAGATGAAGAGGTGCAAAAGTCGCCTCGCGGGATTAGGCTTTCAGGGCGGAGTCGGCCGTGAAAAAGTGAGCATTATCTGCGTCGGCTGTACCGATTGACAATCGGGACTCGACGAGACATGAAACTCCTCACGCTGGCAGTGGCTGGTTAAGTTGACACCGGCAGTCGGCGATCGGCAGTCGCGGCGATCGTGTCGGCAGGCGCATAATTACCTACGTTAACGTCAAAATTCCTCGTACCATCCGGAGCAACCGCAACTCGAAACTCGGATCAACTCTCGCTAGCACGATCGGTTAATCGTCTAGAAATTTCTGCCGCGTACAAATTCCGCATGCATACCGAGCATACGTCATATATAATACTCCAGGTTTCCGCATCTCGCGGAAAAAGTTAGTCGCGCCATTATCGATGTACTCCGCACTCGACAAACAACGTTAATCATCACCTTCGGCGGAATTGATATCTTGGTAATCTATCGAGAATGCCACATTGCTCGATACTTGATTCCTAACGACATATACAGAGTGTCGCGAAGATATTCATTCGAAACGAGAAGAAGATTCTGATTTTCTGGTGCAATTTGCATGATTGAACCGGTTGCCGGTATTTCCTGTGATCCTTTGGAAAAAAACCTTTGAATTCGGTCCATCGGGGCGCAGGTATCATCGGTCGACAGTGCATTCCTTCTGACGGGTTTCTTCGAACGATTTTAAAACTGGTCAAACTAGGCCAAAAGTCAGCTTACGGCTGGCTCGAGCGGAATCTCGGTCGATGACAATTCGCGCACCGATTGTCTTCGCGAATTGGCGCTATCTTATCGGTGTCTCGATATCGCGCGAAGAATAAACGGAAAGGAGAGGTAAGCGTGTGTGTTAGCGCGGCGCGCGGCCCTGGAAGTTACGCAACGCGGGCACGATGAAGTCGAAGATGAGCGAGAGTTTGATAGCGAGTGAAAGCAAGGCGGGGATGAAGGACAGTGCCGACCAGCACAAGCAAAAACAGTTGAAAAAAGGTAGGACCGACCGAGACCTCCCGCC